AAATCATATCCAGTTGCTTGAGTAACTGTTTTTTTGGCATATCGTATTACCTGGATGTCTAACCTTCATCGACGTATCTGTATTTATGTTTTTATGCTTCATGAGCAAAGCACGTTACGTTCTTTCTGTCCAATGCTCACAAATCTACGTGAATAAAATAAACCAAAAAATAAGATAAATACAATAAAGGGAAAATAGCTAAATGGAGGGGAGACTGAGGTGGTTTTCTCGTAGATCATAACGTATGTACACAGGGCTCGAAATTCATTTTGGGGAATAGGTGCACAAACTAAAAAATTGGGTGCACAAATTTTTTTCTGGGGGCACCATATAAGATAGAATATTATAGAATGTCAGCAAAAACTGAAGAAAGTGCTATAACAATGTCAATGATTTGATTATTGTCCTGACACTTAAAGAATTAATAATATGCTGTATACATTTATTATCTTTACATATGCAAACCTACGAAACTATTTGGGTGCACTGGTGCACCCACAGAAAACAATTGGGTGCACGAAGGTGCACATGTACCCAGTTTTTCCAGCCCTGGTATACATACAGGGGATCTGTGAACGTCGGGAAGATCAGTAGCGTTACGAGGAATATATAGCACGCTTGCGGAATGTAGGTGAAAGATAGCGCTACTGAGATGTCAGTATGCTTGTATGTAGGCGTGATTGTACATGTGAAAGTTTATTGCACGACGATTGTCACGGGTACAACGTATGGCAAATGATAAAGTTACTAGTTGGTATGAATCTATCAAAATCATAATGCTACATATATGGTCAACAGTTACTGTGCCTGACAGAGTGTTATAAAGAACTACTGGCTAAAAATATTTCGACTCTACATGTACGTTCTACATTACGCTAAACTATTCTTATGAAGGGTACAGTGAGCAGTTGTACCTATACATGACATGTTCTATGACTACTAAACAGAGTGTAGACTAAATTACTTGCTAGGAATGTTACAATTCTGCATATATAATACATACACAATGCTAGGATACTCTATACTATACACATGTGATGCGTTAAAAAAAGGCGTGAACATCATTAGGCCTTTGATCAATAGAAGATCGATAAAGAGCTTAAACCGAATGAATCTTTATTGCATATTACTGCACAGATTATGGTTAAATGCACACGTGAGCTAATGTGGTCTAGAGAATATAAGACATAGAGTATTTCATAATGAAAACGCTGCATTCTAATGCTAAATGCTAATAGTATAGATATATCAGCAATACAATATACTACTTATCACCTACAGTTAATCGTCGTTTCTTCTCTCTTTTTTAAATATCTTTAAGTAATGATAATGACTGAGTTTAGTGATAGATGGAGAAAGGAACGAGTGTTTTTTTTATATATTCATGGTGGGTAAAATGCGTCATGCAAATAGCTACAAAATGCTTGCTCTATACTCGTTAATAGTTAACAGAAGTTTTGGAAATGCAGGTACGAGAATAATGGCGAAATCTAGAGATAAATAGAAAAAAGGAACGCAGTGTTTGTTTTTTTCATAATGGGTAAAAATGTGTCATGCAAATGTTCACGCAACGCATACTCCATACCCAGTTAATAATTAATTTTAACAGAAGTTTTGGAAATACAGGTTATAATGGCTGAATTTACAGATAGATGGAAAGAGGAACAAAGTATTTTTTCACCGTGGGTAAAAATGTGTGATGCAAATGGCCAAGCCACGCATACATGTACTCTATACGCAGTTAATAAATGAAAGACCTTTATTGTACGTTTGTGCTCTAACAAGCTAAGTACAGGTCGTGGATAAACAGAGAAAAAGAATACAGCAATGACACTTACATAATATACATACTAATGTGATCTACTATTTACAGGTTCAACTTCTTCTCGTTTCTTGACGCAGTTAAAGATGTACGAACATAATGAGCTAATGATACATGGTTTGTCAAGTTTCATGAGGAATTCAAATTTTTCTATTCTGTCTAAATGTCTACAGCTTGGGAACTTATCTATTACATAAGAATAGAGGGAATCCCTCTCATTTCTATATAATGTGCAGTCAACTACAAAATGGCATTCATCTTCAATATTATCTAGATTACAAAATTGGCAGATCCTTTGCTGTAGATAATGGTTAACAGGAGTTGTGGAAATACTACAATCTTTTTAACAACACACCCATCTGCGATGCATGCTCTGTACCGTGTTAATGTTTAACGTTAGTTGTGGAAATACTCCATGCTTTTATGGCAACGCTCCCATCTGTAGCGCGTGTGTCAAGTGCGAAAACAAACAACCCGGGACGGTCCGCAAATAGTTGTTCTAGGAAACGGGAGGATGCAGGTCAATAATACATGTGGGGTCGTGTGGCGCAGCGGCAGAGTGCGCGACTCGGAACTAAGAGTCCCGGGTTCGAGTCCTGACATGCCACTGATCTTGTGCCCTTGGGAAAGGCACTTTACACGACTTTCCTCACTTAGCTCAGGTGTAAATGAGTATTGTCCTGGCATGTATTTGTCCTCTGCGTTGGTGGCGGCATCAATATAAGTTGAAGAAACTTGAGTGTGTCGTCAGCACGTCTGGTGATTACATGTTGGAATAAATAACAAAAAAATAATACATGTGCAGCTACATTCTGAAGCATCGATCCACATCTTGTGTGGAGTTTTTTTAAATCCTATCTAGATTTGTTTTGTTTTTTGTTATTTATTCGTACATACACATTATGACGATAGTTGGTCTAAGAAACGTTGTTTTATTTATTGGCACATGCAAAAAACATCAACGAAGTAAGGAAAATACACTACATTGAATTCTATTATCGGTTCATCACTCGTGTCGATCATTTGTTTTATTCCCCACTTGTGCCGTACATACAAAACAAAAACATAGTTGTTCTAAGTAACGTTAGGATGCAGGGTCAATAATACATGTACATTTTGTATAGAGGTCGTGCTAACTCTATCGATTCAGCACTTATGTGGATCATTTCTTTTATTCCCATATTATATATCTTGTTTGTTTATTTGTTTTATTTATTCGTACATACAAAACAATAACATAAGTTGTTCTAGTAAACGTGAGGATGCAGGATCAAAATAATAATACATGTACAGCGGCTCAGCTACACTCTACTGTATTCTACTGTCGATTGATTCACCACTTGTGTGGATAATTCTTTTTTTTCCTATTTGTTCTTTTTTATGTATTGGCACATACAAAACATTAACAACAGTTGTTCTAGGAAACGGGAGGATGCAGGCTCAATAATATATGCACAGCGGCCGGGCTACACTCTACTGAATGTTATTATCTATCCACCACTACTTTTTTATTCCTATCTTGATTTGCTTTGTTTTGTAATGTTATTTATTCATACAAACAAAACAATAATGTTAGTTGTTCTGGGAAACATGAGGATTCAGGGTCAATAATACATGTACAACGGCCCGGCTGCACTTTGAATATCCTATTTCGAATTCTATCATCGATTGATTCACCACTTGTGTGGGTCATTTTTCATTCCTATTTGCATAATTCCCAAAATATACAATTATAAGAAATGCAAATAACTGGATTCTGCTGCATTCATTGAAATTGCAACGGAAATACAAACGCCCCCCCCCCCAGGCAGCATCGTTGATGTGTGACTTGACACAATAAGACAGTCAAATACATGCAGTTTGTTTTTTTATTGTTATGTATAAATAATACCCATACATTTATAATATAACATTGAATAAAAAAATTGTATATAGACCAAAATTCATAAAACGTAATAAAAGATAGCCTGGGCAGGTCAGAGGTCATTGCATATCTTCCCTAACCCAGGACAGACGTTATGTAACAGATGTGTATAAATATATTTGATGTAGGTTTATGAAAAGCACAGAAAAGTCAATGTGG